GTATGTATGTACGCAGGTATGTATGTACATCCTATATATGCCTGTATGTAGGTATGAGCATATGTATGCATGGATGTGTATAAGCAAGTATGTAAACAAGCAAAAAATAAGTACATAAGTAAGTAGGTGAGTAAGTAAGCAAGCAAGTACGCAAGCAAACAACAAGTGAGCACACAAACAACTATAAAGAAAGCACGGACATTGAACGAATGTAAATGTCATTATAAATGTAAATATGAATACATGCAGATAGGATAAATAGAAAGATAGAAAATAAAGATAGATAAGTAACAAGATAGATAGACAGATAGATAGATGGAGGGATGGATGCATAGATGGATAGATAGAGATAGAGACAGAGATAAAGATAGAGACAGAGATAGAGGCAGAAACAGATAAAACATACAAGCAGCATACATTTAAACATACCTAAATACATATATACAATATGTATATATGTATACATATAACGCTATTTTCGATTCTTCTTCGTATGTTTAAGGTCATCGGAACCTGATGGGCCCGGGGAGGGTCCGGGCTTATCTTCGGGTTTCGGTTCCCTTAACGGTACTCTGGAGTTTCAGGGTTGAGGGTACGATGAAGTTTGGGTTTAGGGTTTAGGGTTCAGGGTTAAGGAAGTTTAGGGTTTAGAGTTTAGGGTTTAGGTTTCAGGCTTAAGGTGGTTTAGGGACGTGGGGTCTCGTTGTCTTGTGGCTCAAGGTTTTAGGCTTTTTTGCTTTACCGCCAATGTCATGGAGTTCCGGGTGTGGTGGCCCAGGCCTAAACCCTAAACCTTAAACCCTAAAACCCTTAGGGTTTAGGGTTTAGGGTTGAAGGTTTAGGGTTTAGGGTTTCGAAAGCCTAAGCCCTAAACCGTTTCCACATTCTGTGGGGTCAGGACATGACTTGGCAAGGGAACCGTGTGGGAAGTCGCAGGCGCCTGCCCTGCACTTGAAAAGAAAGCCCGTTTAGGGTTTAGGGTTTAGGGTTTACTGTGAAGATGCCTAGGCAATTCGACTTCGGACGGGGAGCCTATACTAGAAATGTCTTCGGAATGTGTGAGGGACCCTGAGGCCTCAGGAATAGCAGTGCTGGATATTCACACCCCCTTTAAGGTTTAGGGTTTAGGTTTTAGGGTTCAGGGCTTATTTCTCCAGGAAGCTGTCGCGGTTGGAGGGCCAATGTCGCAGAGCAGCCGTTCCTTAGGGCAAAAAGACAGGAACCTCCAAACTCGCACCCGAAATCCCGAAGGCTGCACCCTGAGGGTCTGCAATGAAATAGTCATGTGGGTGTAGGATTTAGTGTTTAGGGCTTAGGGTTTAGGGTTTAAAGTTTAGGGTTTAGGGTTTGGGGTTTAGAGTTTATGGTTAAGGGGCTTCTCGAAATACTAGCTTCCAAAGGCTGCCAAAGGTAGGGAACCACTGGAGTATTGGATCGTTAGAATGAACGCGGAAGTGTCGCCGTTTAATGTTTACAGCATCGTGGGAAGAAAGACACGCTGGACCCAAAGGGTGCAAGTACCCGACTAGTCCACTTACGCTGAGGGGGGAACATGTGCACTTCGGTTGATGATATAAATCCTGCACTACCCATAATAATTGGAATATACCAAAATTCCCATACTCTAGGGTCCTCGAGGGAATGCAGGATTTATATCATCAACAGGAAATGTAGGGCCTCAATAATTAGAATAGGGTTTTGGGGGGGTTCCTTATTATAATTATCGTAGACTATACCCCAAACCCTATTCTAATTATTAAGGCCCCTACATTACACCCCTTGGGCTATCGATCCAGAGTTGCATCACAGATCTTTGGGACTTAGGATTAGGGGGACCCTTTTGGATAGAGACCTTCTCAATAAGGTCCCCTTTAAGCGAGCCAGAAGTAGGGTTCAGAAGGGTCCCCTTTAAGGGGTCTCCCTAGTACTACCTAAGAATCTTGCACAGCCTCGGCCCTAAGCTCTCCATCGCCTGGAGGAAGGCAGGCCCGTAGCTCATTCAGAGATTTGGTCCGCGAACCTCGAAACACGATAAGTACATGAGAGTGTCTATAGAAAGGCCGAGACACGGAGAGATTGCGATGTTTATTTCTACGTGTATGTGCATGTGAATATTATATATATATAGATATGTAAATGTAATATGCATCTGTATATGTGTACATAGGTATGCACATGTGTCAATTTATTATCTATATTTATATCGGGATGGATGGATGGAGGGAGGGAGGGAGGGAGGGATGAATGGATGGATCGACGGACGGATGGACGGATGGAGGGACGGACGGAAGGAACGATGGATGGATGGATGGATGGATGGATGGATGGATGGACGGATGGACGGATGGACGGATTGATGGATGGACGAATTGATGGATGGATGGATCGATAGACGGATGGATGCATGGCCGGATGGATGGGATGAGCGGACGGACGGAGGGATGGACGGATGGACGGATGGATGGATGAAATAGACAGATAGGCTAGGTAGGCAGAGAGAGAGAGAGAGAGAGACCCCGGGGTTGTCTGGCGTCTTGGTTCTTTCTGTGCGACGGATGTATTGCAGATCAGATTCTGCTCCAAGAGATTGGAGAGGCTCTCGTAGAGCGCATCAACTGGAAAGCCTTTCCGCTCCGGGGTTAGGGATTCTAGGGCCTTTATATAGGGTTTTTGGGTATATGGGATTAGGAGTTTAGGGTTTGGGTCTGGGGCTCTTGTATCTCTAAGGCTCATGCTTTAAAGGGAGCATGCGGTTTAAGGTTCCGGGAAAGTAGTAATGCTTTGAGGTTGAACTTTGGGGATACGGAATCCAAGCGTGTTCTCCTTGTCGGGTATGAAGGTTATGGGGTTAGATGGCGTAAGAGTCTGAGAAACGAACTCGAAATCCGAAAAATGACATTCTTCGCATCACAGCTATCAGGAAGGCCATGAACATCATAACTTTGAGACAGACAGCAGCAGTAGTACCAATGGCAAGTTAGTAGAAGCCCTAAGCCCTAAACTCCTAAATCCAATAGAAATAAGTAGGATTTTGTAGAAATATATGGCGGGACCAACAGTTCCAAGATTCGGACCTGCGGAGTCTGTGCTCTAGGGCTGAGGCTTTGGTGCTTCCGAGAATTTTCAAAAATCCAGGTCTCGGGATGGCTCCGGCTAACCGGTGGGTTTAGGGTTCAGGGTTTAGGGTTTAGGGTTTAGGGGTTTAGGGTTTAGGGTTTAGGGGTTTAGGGGTTTAGGGTTTAGGGTTTAGAGGTCTTCAAAGTTTTGGGGTTTTATGAGATGAACATCAGCAGTTCAACACGAAAACTTCCTAGCCCAGAAAACCCCAAGGAGCCAAAAAACACCACGTCTGGGATGAATAGCTTGCTTGTCCGGTACCTAGAGGGAACTGAGGGTTAACCTCTGGGATTATATACTATAGTACCCCAAAACGGTTAAAGGTTACCTACTCATACTCGAATTTACTGCTAGGATACGTTCCCAATCGACTCATGCCTTTAGTTCTCCGGCTGGAAGGGACTTTTGGAGGCCTACGACTGTATATACAAAGGGACATATGGGAATAGCGCAGGACCCTGTGTTACCTCTTCATGTGACAAGGCAAAAAGCCCAGATAAGCCGACTCGCAACACACCGATCCAGCACTTATCAATTGCTGCAGGCACGCCATCATAGACCAGGTCGGCACCGACAACCAGGTCGATCGGGCCAGAGAACTTACATCGGTCCGGAAGAAGATGTGAAAAAGCCCCGCCCCAGGCGTAGCCTCAGGCAGAAGACTACTTGGAGGGTCACGTGCTAGAAAGTGCACGCGACTGATGCAGGATCTATGGTACCTCACCTCGGCTAAAACAACTGCTTAGCACCTGTAGTGTGTACTCCACAACAAGCAGTTTTGAACAACTCAACCAAAGCAGCTACAATGCAGGATGTGGATTATTGCAAGGCAACGTACGGCAGATTCATAGACCACTCGAAAATTGGATGGTCTCATACAGAAGCTCATGCCTAACAGCGTAAATCTGTAGGTGTAGGGCAGGGCAAACACAATTGCTTAAGCTTTCTGATGGATACTGTGTCAGACTTGGGATGAAGTAAAGTTTCCAACTTCGGGGGTCCTGCACGATCTGGCTGATGCTTAATTGAGCGGCTTTGTCGATCGCCGACAAGACGTCGATGGAAAGAATGACTCATATGAATGACCATTGACTATTGTCCACAGACCTGGTTCGTCTTGCAGTGACACAGTAGTGAAACACAGCTGCCCAATTTCCGTTCCGCACAGTTTCCTCACCAAGACAAGCCGAGAAACCTGCAAACTGAAGGCGGGCTTTGGCCAAAGACGTCAGGCCTTCAATCAGTCCGTCTGCGGCTGCCTGCACCTGCAAGACAACGTACTCAAAATATGTTAGTGCCAAGCCCTTTTGAAGTCGACTCAGGCGGGCGCCAGCCGGAAATCATCCAAAAGAGGCCTGAACAAAAACTTGGAAACAACGATGCGAACTTCGGAATCCCGAGTTGAAGCTCCGTACTCCTTCCTAATCGGGCGCCTCGGAACCAGGCCGATTCCACCAATTCACGTTGAACTGGGTTGAACTGGACGCATGGCAACAACCACTTTCTCAATACGCTGTGGCAGAATCGCCTGGTCGATGACGTCTGGGTGGTCTGTTGCACACACCTGGCACTTGAAGCTTGGGGTCTACATGGATCCTCGGTGCTGCTGAAAGTTGCCGAAACAGGCCTGACGCCTCTGGATGGAGCCCACGGATCTCATGACCATGAATTGCTGCTTAGTCGGTCAAGACTCCAACAAGTCCATGAACATCACCCCACACCAACTGACAAGTCTCGCTGTTGAAGCTTCAAAGCACGTGGTTGCTCTACTGCTTCGACCTGGTGGTCTTCTGGATAGGTCGGATAGGACCTCTCGACAGAGCTATGTGTCCGCTTGGAGTTGTTTAATGCGCGAGCCAAAGGACAAATATCTGATAGCTTAAACAACATAGCAGCGGAGCAGGTGTCGGCTTAAGTTTTTCTCAGGTTTCAGTGCTGTGGTACGGCTACGGCATCGCAGGGTTGGCGGCATGCATCCGATATTGATAGCATGGTGCCTATGGGCTTCCAAGCCATCCACCGGTTCGTTGCGAACATGAGCGACGTAAGTACTTGCCAGCGCCGGCTGTGAGAATCTTGAGCTGCCTGAAGCACATGCAGTACATGTGAAGTCGTCTCACAGAAGCGGCAACAGCGCTGCACACGCGAACTTTTCTTGAGCATGGGCTAAAACGCAATATTACTATCCTTTGGCTGTACAGTCCCCAAACCAAACTCAGGAATACGGGTTGCGTGATTTTGAGCTTCGGGTGTGGAGACGTTCCGGGCTCCTGAACTGAACACTAAAACAGGTTGGGACCCAAAACAGTCAACAAAAAGCTTGATTTCAAATGGGCGTAAATCTTGGTGGTTAGGGCTTCGGGCCGAAAGCTTCCCCCCACCACTTCACCTGAGCAACATAGGAAGAACAAGTTTAAAAGAGAGCAAGAGACAGAGAGAGAGAGAGAGAGAGTGCGAGCAAAGTGTTACGAACCCTAAAAGCTGTAAGGATGACTGAAGCATGATCCGAAAGGGTCCTAAGTACTGTTAGTAATTCCTAATACAGAAACCCGGTACTTAGGATCCTTTGGGGATATGAGCCTTCAGGCCGACGGGATCAACGCCCCGTTCCTCCAGCCCTAAACTTGTAAGCCCTCAGCCCCTTAAACATGATCCCATCCTAAGACTATGCGTTTTTGTAAAGAAAAACCTTGATGGGAGCCTTCTAGGGTTTAGGGCGTAGGGTATCGTAATTAGATATAGTTAAGATATGTTAAGATAGGGTGTTGGGCTCTAGGGCTTTGGTGTAGAAGTTCAAACACCTTCACCATGAAACAAGAGGCCAGGAATTTTAAAACTTACGCAGTGGCTCATCATGATGAGCTTTTCGAGTTCTAAGGCTGGAGAGGCATAGGAGCTAAGGCAGCTAAGGCTTGGAATTGAGTTCGGAAGTACGGGTTTCTACGGCCGACACCAACCCTAAAACGAAAAGCCGAATTCCAAAACCCTGCATCTCAACACCCAAAACCTGAAGCGAACCCAAAACCCGAAAACTTAAACCCTAAACCCGCCTAAACCCTAAAGCCTAAACCGCAAGCCCTACACCCGAATCCGGAAACATGAATAAAACACTCCAACCTGTACCTCAAAGCCTAAACCCTAATCTAGGGTTTAGGGCTTTAAAGCTTTTAATTCCCTTGAAGACCCTATATGGAGTTCTAGGTTCCTGAGTGACCCCTAAATAATAAGGGTACCCTTTTTCCTAGTATTCGGAATTAATAAGGAGACCCCCAAAATAAAAAGGGCAAAAGGGTGCTACTGAGGAACCTAGAGTTTTAAAGGATCCCTATTTGGAGGATCGCAGGGGGATCTCCTGAAAGAAGTGTGAGCAACCACGTTTAGGAGCTCAAGCCTCAACTCATACTCTACAGCGTCTGAAAACCGGCTGTTTGTGACAGTTCCGAAATACCCCTGAGTAGTTCCTTTTGGGGATTACCTTATCGGATTCTAAATATAAACCACAAAAAGGAACTACTCAGGGGCCTATGGGTAGTGAGTAAGGTTATGAGTACCTTAATTGAAGGTTCAATCAGTGGTAGGTATAGTTACGTTACTAGTGTAATTACTTAGTCCCATGATCCTCCAACTCCATACTTTTGAGCCCTAACGCCTAAACCCAAAACCCCAAACCCCTAAACCCTACCCCCTGAACCCTTGAAGCCCTAAACCCAAGGACCTACCCATAGGCTCGAAAGCAGTTCCTTTTTGGGGTTACCTTATAGGATCCTAAATAAAAACCCACAAAAAGGAACTACTTTGAAGCGTATGGGTACTTACCAAACCCTAAACCCTAAACCCTAAACCCTGAACTCTGAACCCCTAACCCCTAAACCCTGAACCCTTAAAGCCCTAAACCCTAAACCCTGAACCCTTAAAGCCCTAAAACCCCAGGCCCCGGAACTGCGCGCCTCGGCGCCCAAGGCTGCCAAGGAGGCGCTGAGCAGCGGGAGCCCGGCGCCCAACTCGAGGATTCGGAAGCCGACCCTCGACGGGGTTTAGGATTCCTTTTTATGGGGTTTCGGGTTTAGGTTTTAGGGTTTAAGGGTTTAGGGTTTAGGATTCCTTTATGGGGTTTCGGGCTTAAGTGCTTAAGGGTTTGGGGTTTTATGTGGAGGCCCGAATACTAGGGCCCCCCCCCCCCCCACCCAAAAGGTTTTGGCTTGAATAATCTGGGATCCGTGACCCCCTTGACTTACGGTTGCCTGAAGCGGCCTTAAAGCGTTCAACTCCTTAGCCGCAGATGTCCGAAGTCCACAGCGAAACCCGGTTTAGGGCCAAGTTTAGGGTTTCGGGTCGTTTAGGGTTTGGAGACCCGAACCCCGAAAACCCCAAAGTTTTGAAAGCTTTCATAGATCTCCCAACGACCCAGACCGGGTAGCCCCAAAGCCGAAACTACAATCCCCGTGGGGCTGCAATAAAATCACTACGGACACAGCTCTTCCGTGTAATGTAGCAACAGCACTCAACCCTAAACCCTAAACTCAGCTTACCGTAAACCCTAAACCCAATATGACCCTAAACCCTAAACCCTAACCTCAACTTTCAGAAACGCAAAGAGGACTCCCAAAGAGCCTCACAAGCGGAACTTGCTGTGCATGCAAGCAGCAAAGTCCTGCCGAATGTCTCGTGCAAATGCCCCAACAATGCCAAAGCTCCGGGCCATACCTGCGGGTTCGGGGCTCAGGGATTCGGGTTTAGGGTTTAGGGTTCAGGGTTTTCGGGTTGGCTGCAGATTCTCAGGCTTCTTGCTACGCTCGGGAACTAAGTACCACTGTTGGGGGCAGATTCCCCCAGGCTCCATGTACCCATATAGTACAGATGTAGGCCTTATCGTACCTTTATAGGAACCCTAAGTACATGCTATGTAGGTACATGGGGCCTTAGACCCCAAGCCCTAAAGAACCGTTATAGGATCCTTGGAGATTACTCTTAAAGTAATCCGTATAAAACTCTATGCTGTAGGTGCATGAAGCGTTAAACCCGAAACCCGAAAGAACCGTGACAGACACCTTGTAGAAACCTTATAGTAACCCATTTGGAACCCTATTGCACAGGAATCCTTATAGCAACCTGATAATTACCTTCATAGACCCTATTGTACAGACACCTTTTGTCGCAAGCCGTATCTATCTACAGATAAAAACTTTAAAAATATCAAAATATGTATATAGATCCCTATTATGCAGGTACATGGAGCCACACCCGAAACCCTAAAATCATTGAGAAACTCTGCAGTAAACCACATAGAACCCCTATAAACCCTAAACCCCTAAACCTCTAAAACCCTAAACCCTAGACCCCCAAACCCCTATAGCCCTAAACCCTATTAAAAAGGGTGCATGGTGGGGGCTCTTTACCAAGAGCTCGGGTCGGTAGAGGCTGAGCGGTTGGAGCTCCGTGTCTCTGAAGTAAACCCTAAACCTTTAAAAGGAACCCTGAAAGGGAACCCTAAACCCTAAGCCCTTAAACAGGACCCCTTAAAGGGAACCCTAAACCTTAAACCCTAAACCGTTTGGGGGGGGGGGGGGGTTCCGACTTCAGAAGCCAGGGCTCCCTTAATGGGTTTAGGGCTTAGGGAGTTTAGGGTTTAGGGTTTAGGGAGTTCAGGGTTTAGGGGGTTTAGGGTTTAGGGAGTTTAGGGTTTAGGGAGTTTAGGGTTAAGGGTTTATACGGCTTTGGGTTTAGGGCTTAGGGAGTTTAGGGTTTAGGGCTTCGGGAGTTTAGGGTTCAGAGGGTTTAGGGAGTTTAGGGCTTCGGGAGTTTAGGGTTTAGGGTTTAGGGCTTAGGGAGTTTAGGGCTTAGGGGTTCAGGTCACTTATTGTAGAAGTCACACAGTTGGAACATTAAGGCTTTTCATGTCTTTAAAAGGTAACGTGAAATAAGAAATCCTAGCACTAACCATCCTTAAGCCACGTTCCAACTTGCTGGGGTCCACCGTAGCGGCTTTGGTGTAGGGCTCTGGGCTTAAGGTCAGAGGATCTTTCAGGATTCGAAATTCCTGGTCTTGGGGGTTTCTAAGGGTTGTTAAAGGATGTGTTTGACTTGGATTGTATAGGGTTTATGGGGCTTCACTGCTTGCCCCAACCAACGGTTCAACTTGGCAATCATCGTTGCATTAAGGCATAAGAATAAGGTGTGCGGGATTACTACGCTCTAGTTTTTACATACCCATAGGCTCCAAAGTAGTTTCTTTTTGTGGGTTTTTATTTAGGATCCTACAAGGTAACCCCAAAAGGAACTACTTTGGAGCCTACCTCATCCCTATAGTACCTATAGGAAGCCTTAAAGGGTCTTTACAAAAGGGCAGAAAGAGCCCTTTGAAACCCTAGAGCAGCGAATGCTGGGTTTTGGTTCAGGAACTTGAGAAGACAAGTTACCATACTTCATAGGGACTTAAACCCTAGAACCTAAACCCTAAGCCCTCAACCCTAGATCAAGTAGTCGTTCTTCCTTAGTATAAATATTGTGGTAACTTAAAATCAGCTCCGTAACAAAAACCCAGAGTAGCCCCAGTCTCTGCCTGAACCCTAAACCCTAAGCCCTAAATCCTAAGCTCGCGTAATGTAGGAGCTTTAACAATTAGAATAGGGTTTCGGGATATAGCATACTATGTTTGACAGACGAAACCCCAGAATAGTATGGGTGATTATTAAGGCCCCATTATAGTAGCAAGGACCCAGGATAGCGCTTATCTCCGCCTTGTTGCCCGACCACGCTCCTGTGGCTGCAGTGTCCTCTGAGAGCACCAGGCGCCAGGACCCACCCCCATCCTTAGCACAGGGGTTGACGGTTTAGGGGTTTAGGTTTAGGGTTTAGGGTTTTAGGGTTTAGGCCGCAGGTCATGCTTGAGGTATATGTGCTGTGAGTTTTGGGGTTTAGGCTTTTCTAACCTCCAAGCCCCAAGCTAGAATGCAGGGCTTCCACTCCCAACCGACTCTGACGATAGTCGTCATGCATTGCTTTACCTTCGGGAAACCTAAATTCAACAATCTCCTGAACCATCCATCAATCCTTTTTTATGAACACCAAGCGACAACTATTGACTATCGACACGCTCAACTCAAAAAATACCGTTCTATACCTGGTACCTGTAGATGTATGCATGTGTGTGTGTGTGTATATATATATATAAATAAGTAAAAACATATGTGCATCTATGTATACACATGGACACACACACACGCACACACCTATATATGTGTATGTATACATACATAAATTAGACACTGCCTGTAACAGTAAATCGACCCCTCTCTTTAGACGGGGTGGGCTGGCCAATTTCGGTTATATTTGAGTATGGTTTTGAACACGTAATGTCGGGAAAGTGAACACTTATCCTGGCC